CCTGCCGGAATCTTTCCAGTATATGACATCCGGCTCGAAGGAAAAAATGTTAGGGTTAACACCTGTTAAACATACATTAACAAAGACAGAAAAGACAAAAGAGTTAGATTCTTTTTCACTCGCGAGGAGAACGGACAGAGATGTGCTTCAGTTACAATCTCCTACCGCTCTGAAGCACATTTTGTCTGCTCCTCTATTTTATTGTTTCTAGGATCCCTAATCACAAGGACGCTGTAGCTCTAAAGGGAGGGGGCAAACAGCTACAGCGTCAAATGTTATTCACTAACTAACACACAATCATTCTGTACTAGATAATGTCCTTCCAGGCACAAAGATTAATAAAATATGTAGTGATCTTAGCAATGATGGTTTTATTGGAGGCCAGCAACTCAACCGAAGCAGAGCTCTTCACCAAGAGGTAAACCTGCAGGAAGATTTTGTTTCTGCTCTCTGTCAGTGAGGCCTTCTGAGAAAGGAATCAGAGCAAATCAACAATACAAGAAACATTCTTAATTCTATAATGAGATTAACTTTAAGGAAAGCATCAATTAAAGATACATTATAAAGATCAATGAGAATAACAAATAATTGATTAATAATATCACAATTTCTCCAACAATAAGATTTGGCTGAAATTCTGGAACAGGACTGTAAAGTGAAAGTGGAATCAACAGCACATTTATTTTCAGCCAGATTGTCATGCAAATTATAAAACTAAACGAGAGAACATTGACACTCACCAAATCTTTTGGTGAGTGTCAATGTTTACTCATTATATCTCATAACTGGAAAACTGTTTCCTCAAACCTCAAGTTTTAATGTTCGACCTTTTTGAATTTTTATTGAAAACACTCAAAAAATCAATTCTGCACAGTATGTATATTTAGAAAACGGCAAATTTTCTTAACAAACACCTGTGACAAAAGGCAGAGAAATTGATTTTTAGTGTGATGTGGTGGAACAAACATGAAAGATTCAGTGGAGCTGCTTCCATAGAAACACAGTTTCACTTACTAGAGCAGCAGAAAACTTTTATGTTTTCTGTCTGAATAAAGACTAACAAGCCTAAATGTGTGTGTTTTTTCTGTGTGTACAGCAGCATCTGTTCCTGTGTGCAGGCTTGATATTGTTATAGTACAAATCCTTTGTGTGTGTGATTAGGGCCAGGAATTGGATTAGGGTTGGATCAGTGGCCACAGTTATTGTAGATGGAAATATCAAGCAAAGACCACTGCATGCTTTGCTTCATCGTCCACATAAACAGATACACTTAGGAGTGCTTCTAATATTACACATATTTTATCATATTCAGTTTAAAACAAAGAGTTTATCAAACACATTTTTCAAGTAATCAAAATAATATCTTTAGAAAAATTCTGAGATGAAACCTACACAAGATTAGAGTAAGACAACAGTTTTGGTGATGAATACTGTATTTCTCCTCAGGTTCTCATCAACGCAAATTTAGACAATATTACCAAAAAGTATTCGGTCGAGTCTCTTCATACACATAGATACTGGAGAGATGTCATCGTCTTGATTAAATTGGGTTTAATCATGTCAGCTACCCTTTTTTTCCCATAGCACATCAGATTGTTCCAGAAAGACTTTTCACAAAGATAAGGAGTGTGTTCATTGCACTTTTGTTTTTTCTAAACAATTCTTTCAGAAGTGTCTTGATGTGTGCAGAAGGGGACCCAATCGCAGCAGGCAGTAGACGTAGAATGTCGTGGATGTTTCATTAAAGTACATCAACTTACAAAAATTCAATAATCCAGGGTACAAGAAAAACCAAAAACACAACACAAACTGTTGTGACTGAGATAGAGGAGCTGAAATACTGGGACGTAGACCTAGCTAGACGTGATAACTGATTGCAGGTGCGAGTAGTTGGCACAGGAGCTAACTGAGGGTGAGGGAGAAGGTGGCACAGGGAGGCTAAGAAGATATACTGAGGAATACAAAAGGGAGGAAAGACCAGGGAGCTGAAAATACTTTTAATACTAAAGAAACTCTGATGCACTAGAAGAGAAAAGACATGAGGGAATACAAAAACAAACATATACAGAAAGAAAGCTGATCTAACAATAATAAGAGCTAAGGAACATAGAGCAAAGAAATAACCTAACTAGAAAGATGGATATAGTTGGATGGATATAGAAAACTAGAATCACTATGAGGGTACCTAGAGGGACTTCAGAAATAATCTATGATTACTGAAGGAAGACAGGCATGGATTCCTCGGCAGTGTTCTGTCTGCAGGCAACCAGACTTGGTGAAGCAGCTGCTATTTCTTCTCCCTCTGTGGGGTGGCAGCCAGTGTTACTTGTTGATGGCAATCTCCGAGAACCTGTAACTACAAGGTTCCTTTTGCAGAATTCTAAATAAACCAGGGTCGTAGTTTGTCCCGTTAGGTCATGGATGCACTAACAGTAACCAGTATTTCTAGAGTCTTAGCTCCTTGGACATGGAGCAGACTTCTCGATTTCACCCTCCCAGTTGGCATGTCAGAATAAAAACTCTTTGACTTTGGTGTGGGATTCTAAGGATGTCTGTCACACCAGTTTCCTTCTTGAAACCCCTTCTCCTCCTGCTGCTGTAACCAAGGTTAACACGGTGTATTGTTAAGTCAGTAGTTTTTATAGCAACCTCCTAATATAGTTGGGAAGTTGCCTTTTGCTTGGAAACTGCCAAACCTAACATTGTTCATTTGATTGTCAGATGGAGAGACATAATTAGTCACTCCGGAGAAAATGTCTTCACTGCTCTAATCTCCAGTGGCAGCATGTTTTAAACCATTTAGATGTTTTATGTTACACTTGATTGAAGGTCATATTACACCGTTCTTGAGCTAATCTGAAGACCACATGATGTGTGAAGATCTGTAGCTATTAAGTCTGTTGAAATTTATGAAGCTCTGCGCACCATTTCATTATCTGCTGACCGTGCTCTGTGATTTACACAGTCCACTTTGCGACTCATGATGCCAGTCACCCCCACTTTGTTTGAATACAGTTGATTGTGAAATATTTAGTAACATCACAATTCGACTTACTGTACAGATGTCACCCAATCATGGTACCACAGTGGATTCCACCAAGCACCTGAGAATGAACCCGTTTTTCACAAGCAGTTGCAGCTGCAGTCTGCATGACTTTGTGTTGCATTTTATACACTTCTGGCTATGAAAGCATTTGCAACACTGGAATGCAGTGATTTAAATCGATGAACCAAAACCTTTCATGTTCAGTTGTTTCACATGAAAAATTCACCACATTTTCTATTTAAGAAAAATAAAAACATCAAAATTTTAGTTCTAGAAATCAATGGTGACAACTTTCACAGACAAACTGTTTTTGCAAATTTTTCATAACATTGTGTTTACTTGTGAGAGAGGTGGGATAGATTTCGCACAGATTATAAATGCTGTGTCTAAGCCATTGGCCAGATGGTGTTCCAAGCGAGCTGAATCAATGCATAAAGCTAAACTTTTTGCTGCTTTGTATTGATTAAACTATAACCTTTCTGAGCTGAATGTTGCATCGACATCAACCTTGTTGCAACCAGGAGTTCTCAAGGGGGCCAAAACTCCATCCTAACAATGCAAAATATAATTTCCAAAGTCCTGGTGAGGACGAAGGTTACATCTTACACAATAAATACAAAGATGGCGCATATTTGTGTGTGGCATGCTTGTTATTGCACTTTTGGTATGCTGCAGATGACCTTATCTTTGAGCTCAAATTGATCCCATAAATAATAGCAGGCTTAAAAAAGTATGGAAAATAGATGTTAGAAATACTCAACTCACCAATACCATTTATAGAATTCTATAAGCGGTATATATATCTATTTTCTGGTGTTTTAAAACATCTTTGTTAAAGCAATATTTGATTTTGATATGTCAATGACATTATTTCTTTCAACATAGGAGTATTTTTTTTCTTTTTAATCAGTTGTTTAAATTAAAAGTACAAGAGCCAGTTTGTACAGTTTGTCATAATTTCAAAACAAATGGCAGCATCTTGACTTGCAGCCAAATCAATCCACTCTATGTTTCAATAAAGCTGCACAGACAGGTGCAGATACTTTTATGTGTGCCAAGAAAAGAGGATCATACATATGCATGTTGTTCTGGAGCAGTTAAGTCATGTGTCATGCTGTAGTTCCCACGGGTGACTGAAAGAACAATTATTAATAATTTGATTCTCTGTCTCTTCAGCCCTGAAGAAGTTTACCCACTTTCGCACACATGACTGATAATTGCTTCTCTTTTGCCCCAGTAATCAACACAAAACTACCAGGACTTACACACACCTTGCACACACAAGAGCAGCACAGTTCTGTGTTTTCCCCCAGCTCCACACCACAGTCAGCAGTGTTTTAATTATAAAGCAGGGATTATAAGCTGACAAGAAACACCATTATGTGTTCCAGTTTGAAAGAAGAAAGCATGTGTACACAAGAGAGGAGTAAAACTCATTTTCACTAAAATGTTTCTGTCAAAAGATATGTTTTCAACCCCAAAGGTAAAGCCTTTAAATCAGTCCTTGTAAATGTGAAATTCAGAGAACAAGACAAGATGTGTGCCACTTTTGGGGATATTATTCCATTCATGTGCAAATATTCAAATACCAGATTTCAGCTTTTAAGCCTCCAGATATTGCTATTTCTGTCTCTGTGCCTTTCTTGGCGTCTGTCACTCTGTTGATCTGTGTCTCTTTCTGTTTCTATGTTTTCTGTCTCCATATGTGAGCACATATCGCATTAATATCAATCCTTCCTTTAAAATTAGCTTCCCAACGAATTGACAAAGATCTGGGGACGTGTATTTGTCCATATTCATATAGCAGAATAGGCATTCCAGCAAGCCTGTCTCTCCCTGTTTGTTTAGAGATTGAAACAGTTTCCACGAGTATCTGACCAAAAGCTTTATTAGATACATTTCCATGCCACCTAATTCTAAAATTCTTACTCTATATGTGTCTTTTTCCTTTCAGTGTGCCAGATAATGTCTAAAGGGGTTGTGGCAGTCCTTGGCCCATCTGCCAGTCCAGCTTCTAACTCCATCATCAGCAATATATGTGGAGAGAAAGAGGTGAGTCCCTGCACCCTATGGACTTGTAGCCCAGGCTCACAGCTTGACTACAAATAAGAGCTTGGAAAAATAGAGCTGCTCATTAGCAGCTATGTTTTTTTTTTTCCTCTTTTTTTTTTTTTTTGGTAGAATGAGGAGGAATGAAATGCAAGCTGCTGGTAAAATGGTAAAACACTTAATGATATCATAAGTCTCCACTCTAGTCCTAGTTATATCAAAGCACTGCTGGGCAGTTCAGTTTTGATTTTCCTCTTATTAGCCTGGAGCAGTTTGGTCCCCAGAGGACGTTGCTTATTTACAAATAGAAGTTATGTTTTTACTTCTGTTTGATGTTTATTTATTCCAATAAATCACAGTGAGAACAAAGTAGCTGTATGAAACTGTTTGCTGCTTTGTCAAAATAAAAACTGAGGGGTATTTTGATATATTTGTAAGATAGAAAAGTCATGTTTTCTTATCTGAACAGAATAAAAAAATGTTAGATTATGTGGCTTTTCAACTTAAATTGTGAATGCTTATTAAACATAAAGGCCTTTTACTCAGACGGTTTTTCAGATTTGATGGTTATATAAACTATAGAGTTGAGGTACAATCAATGAATTCCTGTACTCATTTACTTTTGCAAAATTTTACTGTAAATTTCTTTTGTCTAAGCAGATAAGCAGTATTTCAAAAGAGCTTATTTTTTTTATTAACAATAACTAATTTGGTGTTAGAAGATGAGCATTTTTTCTTTCTGGTAACGAACTGCCATTCGTTATAAACCAGATTTTTACTTTTGTCTCCAATTTCTGTTTTACAATATAGTGACAAAAAGTAAATGTTTGTATTGAATGTCTGTTTTATAATATATTTACCACCAATGACAAAAAAGACACATTTGAACTTTTCTGTTAAATTAACCAACTGCACAATTCTTGTTCAGCAGTAAGTAGCATAAATTAGTTAAGTAGTATTCAAAAGACCAGGGGAAATTTTATGTTTTTTGTACAATAATAATATTTGTTGGTAATGTGTTGCTAAGAGACGAGCCTGTTTTCCATGTGTCACGAAGTAAACGTCTGAGTTTTACTTTTGCAAAATTTACCAACTCTACATTTCTGATGTCTTCATAAGCAGTATTTCAAAAGAGCTTATGCTTTATAAACAACAATTAATTTGGTGTGAAGAGATGAGCGTTTTTTCTGGTAACGAATTGCCACCCTTCAACGAGTGTGAATGCATCAGAGATGCGGTTTGTGTTTTATTTACTCACATAGTTTCACATAGACTTTTGTCTTAAATCTTATTTCTGACTTAAATGTGACCTAACTCACCCATATGACGCTTTAAGATAAAGCTCACAGTACTCTGTTAGTCCACAGAGAAGCTGTCCTCTTCTTCCTGTGTGGATCTGATCCCGACATGACTGCAGTAGTAACAGGCTTCCAAATACCAACGTCCTCCTAACAGGATCTTTTGCTGCAATGAAGCCTAATGAGATATCAGCCTGCTATAGTGCTAAAAACCTCTGATGGCTCTGAGTGAGCTGCTTTGAAATACTGACTGCCATATTACCACTGTACAAATTTAACATTGACATCATAAGAGAAAAATCCTATAAAGAGGAGTTAATATGCGACCAGAAGGTTTAGTTTCCCCACACTTTCTTAAATTTCATCCTCGCATATGTGTTCTTATTGTAAACGAAAGGGATAATCATCAGGATTAACATAATGCTGGGAAGCTCAGCCAATCATGTCCTTTTCTGAGGGAAAGTGACAGGATTATAAGATTTGCTGTTGTTGCAGTGAATTAATCTTTGTATTTTTTATGTATAACATGACATTAAGCAGTGATTTCCAGCAGCACTGACACCAGAGCTGTACTCAACTCTACTCAAGTTAACAGTAGGTAAATATTATTTGTACTGTAGTCACAGGAAAAGTAATGCAGCGAATTATCACACATACCTTGACAGCTTCATAGAAAGCTTCAGCTGAGTTTATGATTGGTCGGGTCGCTCTATCTTTATCGCTCTTGGCGATACTCTGAGGACTTTTTCAGAGGACTTCAGTTTGAGTTCTGCTGTTGAATTCATAACCCCGTAAGTGTATTTATGTTGCTGGTACTTATTTCTAATCCCTGCTTTGTTAACCACACATTAAGCCCTTTTCAATGACACGTGTGTTACTTAAAATTTCAATCAGAGTCTGACAGAAATAGCAGTGTTTGGTTCAACTTTTAATTGAATAGAAAATTTGAACAACTGATCTGTCGCTGTACGTCTGTCCTGTGACAGTAAGTTGTGTCCCTGCCATCAGCACAGCAGCAGCAAACAGGCAACCTTGAGCAACCCATACATAAATGGGATTGGAAATGCTAGACCTTCTACCTGGCTTTCATTGGTTGTGACTTTGGGAAAGCTTTACTTCCTCTGGTCTGATTACAGAGGAAATGATGGATCGATTAAGTAATCAGTTATTTAATTCAGAAATCTCAGGAGAAATGTCCCACCATCTCTAAGGAAGCTGACGATTGTTTGTCATTGAAGTTTCAAACAAAAAATAATCCAAAGCACATCTCAAAGCTCAAGAAAATGTCGTGGAAGTGACCGTCGTAGTCGTCTCTCTGGCACTCTACTGAATAGCTCTGCTAGGGTTTGGAAAAGACAGTTGCAGCATGCAAACCCAAGATTATCACTGAAATGGAGGCTCTGCCCTTGAGGAGAAGACAAAGATTTCTCAGAAATGTTGCCAGAAACCAGTGTCCGTCAGCGAATTGCATTTGAAGAAGGTCATAACAGAAAAATTGTACTCTACTAAGTGGTAAAGATGTTTTTTTTAATAAGAGGCTGAGTAAAGCAACACTCATCGTAGTTTATTTTTTATTTTTAACTTGAATTAAACAATATTGTGTTGAGTTATTTAAGTTGTCCTTGTTTAATTTGTTTACTACAAACAGCTACTGTTAGCAACCTAAATTATGTGGACCACTACTCACTTCCACTTGATTTTAAAGGATAAATTTGTCCTGAATTGTCTGGAAGGAAAAAATTCTTTGGCAGATTGACCTTCTAAAGCTAAAGTTTGGAGCCCATTGCACTTCCCTTAACTTTGACTTTCCTTTTTTTATTATTATTGAACGTCAGACAGAGCTGTAAATGTTTGCTGTCACTAAGAAAGTCCTTTTGACATGTGTGCCGTCTGTTTTCTCTGCTCCTTTGAAAACTGTTGAACTGTAAAATGGCTTGCAGTATCAAAGCGTGAAATAGGTTGATGTGACACATTTATCACCTGAAAATACCATCAAGCTAGATTTAGTTTAAGAGATTAGAAGGCAGATCTGTAAGATCATACATTGAATCTTGTGATACAAATGCTCAGATTCATTTTGGACATGTAATTTCCCGGACAATAGACAGCAGATTATCAAACCGTGGACTGAAATCATTTTCATGGGTAAACTGTGATTTGCTATGGTTTGCTGCCATTCTGTGTTGAATATGGCAGTGGGAAATTGTTTGATGAAATTTAAATAATAAAACTTTTTTAAAAATTAATATCCATCTTAATACATTTATTTTTTAAATCAGTTTTAAGTGAAAATCATTTTAAATCAAATTCCATCAGGGGTTTAATAGTTTTCGTCTTCACTGTTTCTGGATTCTGAATGTGACATGAAGGAGTAGCAGGTAGCAGCTTATCGATGATGTGTGGCCCAAATGTACCTGCATGTCTTGGTCAACAGAGAATTTACGAGAAAAGACCATTGCTGATGTTACTTCTAACCAGGACTACATCTAGCTCTCAGTGCTCCAAGTAGTCACACATCTACATCCTCTTGTGCTTCTTGTGAGTTAATGAAAGTGGTGTTGCTGTTTGTTGCTTGACAGTGACACTGACAGTGATGGTGGAGAGGTAAGAGTGTCCAGGTAAACACCAAGCTGTTTTATCTCACTGTTAGGCTCCCCAGCTCATGCTTAAGGTGTGGAAATCAGGAAGATTATTGTTTAGTCATGGCCCTCTGTTGAGCAAAGACGATCATCATAGCCTTTTCACACCCCTCTGATAAGTCTATCTACAGTGACCAATGTATTTCAAATTACAGGGCTGAGGGGTCTGTATCATTAATACTAATTAATATTAATGGATACTTATGAAGAGCAATGTTGCCTTATTGATTTTCTGTTACATTAGACGCAGCTGAATGATTTACTTCTCCTCACATTCACCTCTTCCTCACCTATTCTGTCTCTGGCATCACAGATTGTGGCTTAATATTAAGCGTTCTCTGTAATTTCCCGAATTAGCCACCAATAAACATGGAGAGCAGCCATCATCATGTCCATAATGATAATGCACCAATGACATCGCCCCTATTTATTGCGTGGAACCAGAAGTGACAGGGTAGGGGACTGCCTGCTGCACAGAATAAAATCAAGCTAGTGAGAGAAACAAGCCAAGTTTAAATGCGCTGTACAGTGACATTTCACCATTAAACAGAGGTAGGAACCTGTGGAAATTAAAGAGCCTTGGTATCTCAATGTTATTTTCACAAATGTATCCATCAGTCATGCATTGATTTAGTGCTCTGTTTGGTGTTTTTAATTGATTTCTTAATTAGATTAGAGTCACCAGCTTTGCCATTACCACCAATCACTGAGAACCCCTGGTAATAACAGAGCTACGTGAACAGAGCAGAAGTAACAGAAGGTTCATCATGCAGGAAAATTTAACATCGAGAAAATGTTTCCCTGCTGAGCAAGAAAGCGTTGAGCTGCAGTCATGAAGGGCAAAGTCATCTTTAATGAGTTGCAACACTATTAAAATTCAGCTTTATTCAGTAGCACAACAGAGAAATCAGCAGTCCACTGGGAAATAATGTAAATCTTTATTCTATGCGCAGTAGCCAAATGGTGTGCAGCATGCTTTTGAGGGTAGGGGAAAAGTAAATTAGAAAGAGCAAAGCTAACCAGAAAATCCTGACCAGTACTATCAGAAAGCAAATAAAAAAAATTC